AGGACTAAACTGCCCCCCTGCTCTGAAGTGCGTGAAGCAGAAACAAGGTTATGAATGTGGATGCAATTCTGGTTTTAAGGTTGTGGGAGGCGGGAACGCCAGGACTTGTAAAGGTACGAGAACTGTTTAATTAATTTTAACGCTTATAATTGGCATGAGAATGAGCTGAATTAGTTAAAAAATAATCAGTTGATTACAAATATTTAGGCTACACGTTACAATGAAATTTGCTCGAACAGAAATACCGAAGGCAATTTACTGCAACTATATTAAACTTGACCGTTCCTCAGATAAAAGGCAATTCCAGCTGTTTTTCATGCGATTCACTTAATAGTAACAATTCGCGAGGCTCAGGTCAGAAACTGGACTTAAGTGTGAAATTCGGAACCGTTGAAAAAAAAAAAACACCCCGATTCAGCCTCAACCTATTATAGTAATCGCATCAGACTGTTGTTGAGTTTCTTGTTTTCTGGTTTATGGACGAGTACTTTGACCGACATTATTGAAGGTGAATCAAACAAGGCGGTTGAATAGCCAACGTTTTATATATCAAAATGCTATCATAACTTAGAGGCTTCAGGGTCAAAATTGCCATCTTTTTACGACTCCATTTGTGTCGCAATTTCCAGGAGAGACTTGAGCACAAAGAAAAAGAAACCAAATACAGAAATGTGACCAGAAAGCCTCGGACTGACTTTAGAATTTTAGTACATCGAGCGTGGGCTATTAAGGTCACTTAGACTAAATTTGTCCCTCCATGCCCCAAATATTGTATGTATTCTCTGACATTTCCTGGGACGTTCAGTGACATCTGATGCCTTTATTAATTGATGCCGTTTTTTTTTAGCAATGAACGAGTGTGAAAAGAAAGGACTTAATTGCCCCCCTGCTCTGAAGTGCTTGAAACAGAAACAAGGTTATGAATGTGGGTGCAGTCCTGGTTTTAAGATTGTGGGAGTCGGAAACAGAAGGACCTGCAAAGGTACGATAATCATTATTATTTAGCTGATGGCTTCTAACAAAATGTAACATGTTAGGGGTCGCCCTTGGTCCCACAATTCTCAGCTGTTGCGAAAAACACGTTAATTGAAAGAACGCTTGTTTCTTTTATTAACCTCATTTTCTCCGAATGAACTTATATATTATAACAAGACAAAAAATCTCGTAGAGCAAAATTGCCTTAAATGTCAAAAGTACTCATACAACTCATAGTCTCGTTCGATAAACTTGCCTTCAGCAATATATAAAAATACGTAAAGAGTCCTATTAGTAAAATGTGTAATGACAAATATAGTCAGAGTTCAATTCTGGCAGTTTTGAGGAGAGGAGAAATGCGCGCGTCGTCAAATATATTTGCTGCTAAAAATTTGAGTTCGCAGGAAAAAGCAATGGAATTGCTGTCGATTTGAAAGTTAAAATGAGCATGGGCAAACTTAGTTGAAGATTGAAAGAATTTGTCACGACAATGCATTATCATTTCAGCCAAGGATGAGTGCGAAAAGGCAGGAGAGGTATGTCCATCCGCGCTACTTTGCTTGAAACAAGAGGACGGATCTTTTGCATGTGACTGCGATGTTAACTCAAAGGTAGTAGGAGAGGGAGATGCGAGGACTTGTCAAGGTACAGATTATTTCTAAAGGACCTGGCAGTCATAGGTTTTGTCCCAGTGATCATGCCTATTTCTGTTTGCTTTATGAATGGTTGAAAAAAAACTTAATTACTCGACGAAGCACAACCTCGTTCCCTCTCCTACCCGGCTCCCGTGAGCCGAGCAAGAAAGACCCTGGGAACGAGGTTGGATGAAGCTATTGTAGGTAAGGCAAACTAACAGAAAAACAGTTGACGCTTTCCTTTCACGTTTGAATGCAATCCAATTTTGCCCCTTTGTTCTCCCTTGTACTGTTTCTGCATTTCTCTTCTGTTCCCGATTTTTTCCACTTCATTTTATTTAATTTTGCCATGGTTTCAAAAGGGATAATCAAGATGCCTAAAACAACTTGGCTTAGTTACTCAATTTAAGACTATTCCAGTTAAACAATCGATTACTAACTTGTATATGAACTAAGAAAGATGGAAATCTGGTCACTCGAGTAAACTACAAGTGTTAAGCTGAGGGCTTGGAGTGGCGACTCAGGGCCAGTTATTTAACCGTAGTTTAGCCAGTGTTTAATTAAACCGCGTTCTAAGCCATTTTCCATTGGCCATATGGTTTTATCTAAACACCATTTATTGTGAAAAGTTTTATGAAAGCATATAGAGAAGACCAGAAAAGCATTTATCTTCTTACTTATAACAGACTAAAGATGAGACCTGGAGGTCCAAAGATTTGTTAAACCGTGGCTTAAGTTAGACTTCGTTTAAATAACCGACCCTAAGTATTGAGCTTTATGACCCAATTTTTCCAGCCTTGGACGAGTGCGAGAAGTCAGGAGAGGTTTGTCCATCTGAACTGTTTTGCCTGAAAAACGAAAACGGAACTTTCGCATGTGGCTGCGATGCTGACTCAAAAGTAGTGGGAGCAGGAGATAACAGGACTTGTCAAGGTACAATTCTTCAGCAATTTAAGAGCAGGGGCTATGTAACAATAAAAGTTAAGGTGTTTCTACTCAGTTTTTCGGAAACCAGAGATGTTTTGAATTTTTACAATCGCTATAAAACTTTCACCACTTAGAGGTTCTTTCGACTGGAATTTGTCAAAAAGTAATTTTATTTATAATAATTTAATATTATCATGACAACGATAAACAAAAATCCTTGAAAGACGAATTTTGTGCGGTCTTGACCTGCAAATGAAAATTCAATGTCGGATTTTATAAACTAAAGTTTTTGGCAAGTAGCCTCCTTGAGAATAGAAACCTCTGAGTGCTTGAATTCAAATAAAACGAAAATATATTTTTAAATGTTATATCTTCATTAGACGTGATAAAAGATCGAAAATCACATTTTTAATAACTCAATTTACTCTTTAACAGCATTACTAGCAAATTTGGGTGCGATCTTGGAAACAAACTTTTTTCTAAACTAATTTCCACGTGCAACTTTATGCAAACTCCTATTGATTATTCAAGCTCTTCCATACATCTCAAAAACAGTTCAGTAGAATTCTTTAAAAAATTTCTCACATAACCTTCGTGATGTGAAAAGTAATATGTCAAACTTTCATTAAAATTCATTTACTGTAGGCAACGCCTTCAAATTCCAAGCTGAGCCTCGCCTACGAACTTCACTGTTTTGACGTTTAAAAAATTTCTCACATAACCTTCGTGATGTGAAAAGTAATATGTCAAACTTTCATTAAAATTCATTTACTGTAGGCAACGCCTTCAAATTCCAAGCTGAGCCTCGCCTACGAACTTCACTGTTTTGACGTTATGCTAATTCTTTCAAATTAATGCGCAATACATACCTCCGTGCGCGTGGTTTTTACGCATAGTTTGAATCTCAAACATTCAGGTAGAGATCTTGTTTTTAGCAAGTGCCTTGGTCTGTATTTGAGCATTTACCTTCTGGTTCCTCATATTAAAGTTATTTTATTTAAAAATTTTCCCATACCTATATCATCATGGCCTTGTTTACAAGTAACTTCCTCTCCCGTTATAAATATACGTTTCTAATGCAGGCGTTTTGAAAGCGCCAAAGCAAAAAATACAGCTTTATAAAATATAAATAATGATATTAAAAGATGTATCAATCATGGAAGTATGTAGGGAATCTCTCGCTTTCCTCGAGATTCATCACTAAACCAGTACGAGACCCTGATGAATACTTCTACAAGTGATTAAAGACATCTTGAAAATAAAAAAAAAAGCAAATAAAAACTCACCTAGTTTATCATCTGCTTGTACTCTGGAAGTTACCCGTAATCGCTCTTCCACGTGCATTTTACATGATGTCATGACATAGGAGAATATCCCGGATGGCGTAAATACCCTGTATTCAGTTAAGAAAACCAATCGACTACGCATGCTTCTGATCTTATATCCGACAAATTTTGGCTTTTTCCGCTATCCCAGAGAATAGTGTGCTGGCTCTGTAATGGTCGCCAGCAATAAGGTGAACTGTAAATAGCTCTTCTACTTTTTCAATTTATGTTGTATCAAATTGCTCCTTAAGACTCTTTTGGAGGACACAAATGCTTCTTGTATTGGCTATTATGAGTCTGCGCGGGAAGCTGAGTCAAAACTGGTCCCTCACGGAGAGAGTCCCGTAGTGCAATTCGAAACAACATCGAGCCAGTTCCACGAGCGCAACTTCAAAATGGTCGATGAATGGTCTCTTATCGTTCCCCACCGTTGGCCGGAATAGAGATTTTACAGCTGAGCTCGCAGCAGACTATCAACTACACAAATTATTTAGATATATCTCTTAAGAGAGAGCCGTAGCACCAGAGTAGTAAACACCATTCCCTGAAAGTTTGAAATGATCCCACGCATCCTGAGATAACTAAGAAGGGATTGGACTGGGTTTAAACCGTAAATATCGCCTAGTAACTAAAGTATTCTTTAAAACAATTTTTCCAGCTTTGGACGAGTGCGAAAAGGCAGGAGATGCTTGTCCATTTCCCCTGCAGTGCAAGGAACAAGAGAACGCAACTTTCGCATGTGGCTGCGATGCTGGCTTGAAGTTAGTAGGAGAAGGAGATGACAGGACTTGTGAAGGTATTGTTTTCACGATATTTTCAACAAGCATTTTCTAAAAAGCATGAAATCACAAACTGAAACACAATCAATCTTATTGAAAAACGTCTGCACCTTTCCTTCGATCGGTATGATACAAAAAGTAGGATATGTTTTTCAAGTAAACGGAGCTGCACGTGGTTGTTCTATTCGCTTTTATTAAGCACTTTAATTTGCTCAGACAATTAAAACCAATAATTCAAAAGAACTAATAACCACTGACTAAGAAACAAATCCAGATAAAAACTCAGAGTATATTTTAGTCCAACTAACCCTCTCCTAAGCCAACCTTAACACTCAAAACTTTTTTATGGAGAAATATTGGATAATGGGAGTGGTAGGTGATCCCACAATTCTGCGGAATTACCCACCTTCCCCTCCCCTAACCCAACCTTAACACCATCACGTGCACCGTTTTAGGTTAGAGAAGGGTTGAGGGGTATGTGAGCAGATTTCAGAATCTAAGTGTAATACTTGCTCGATATATTATACGTGCTAGCTGATGACATTTACGAGTGCAGTATTCAAGGTGATGTTTGCCCTCCGACTCTCAAATGCCTAAAACAAGAAAATGGATCTCACGTGTGCGGCTGCAAGAAGAAAGGCTACGTAGTTAAAGGAACCGATCAGGAACGGACTTGTGAAGGTATAAGTGCTTAATTTCATTCAAACTGTTTCCTCGTACCAGCCTGCTATTCTTACGATCATTTTATGATTTTGACACCATTCTCCCCTAGAAATAGAGTAAATTGCATCACTGGATAGGGGGTTTCAAAGCAGCTCGAAAACTGTGAGCTGAGATGTACTCAATCTCCTTTTGGTTGGAGTAAACTCGAACTCAGCTCCCTGGCTTAAAAAAAAAAAGTGATGGGATCTGGTACTGGTGAGAATTGGGTTGCTGAAATTGTTTAGGATGCGTAGGTCTCTTGTTCACCCCATGTGGTCTTTTTTTTTCTCATTGTTATTGGGTATAATAGTGGATGACTGCTGGCTAATATGCAGTGTCATTTGTAAAATTTGTGATTTGGTGAGATTACAAATACGGCTATCCCCAGTTATCTCCAAATTTTAATTGTTAAGGGCCGGTTGTCAGTGGTAGAATCTTCTATATAACATACACATTTTTCAGATGTAGACGAATGCACTCAAAACCCTTGCGCTGAGAATGAACAATGCGTAAACGTGCCAGGAAAATTTGAATGCCTCTGTAAAGACGGATACATCAAAAATGCCGGTAGCTGTAAGCCTGGTGAGTTCTAGCCTGTACACAGACGTTGTTTTATTTCTCTTTTNGCGATCAATAAATCCGCCGCGTTTTTTTTTTTTATCACGCGCACTCGAAGGACTTAGAAGAGAAAATAGAGGGTCTGTGAACTGGTTAGGTGGGTTCACGTCCTCCACTAAACGAAAAATTGAACACTTTCACGCTATATATGTTAAAAAATGTGCTGCAGTTTTTTGCCGTTCTCGTTGCCGTCGCCGTCGTCGTTGCTTAAACCCCCTTACAACTGCACGAGAAGAAGGTAACACACAGTCGATTGGATTCTGGCGAAATACTTTGTTTAAAAATTAGACGGAGTAGTGAATAAGCGAGTTTTTTACTTCTTGTTTTCTCTACATCACTGCACTTCTTCAACAACACCCTTTGCGCTGGGCTTGTATTCGCAGCGACCCGTTCAAATGCAGTTTTGCGCGTCCCCTGTTAGGATCATTCAGTAGAGTTAACCTTGTGTTTGACGTCGAGTATCATGTGCAACACGTGCTAACGGAATACTTTAAACACGTCTCGTACATGCGTGACTCCAAAGCATTCCTAGCAATACAAATTAAAAGAAATCACATTTCACAAACGCTAGACTACGTGTTTCCCCTTATACGCATTATATTGAAATGACTTGTTTTTCATCATCGTAGCAAAATGTGTCAACGTCAAGTGTAATGCGCACGAGATGTGCCACGACGGAATATGCAGATGTAAAAATGGATACAGAAAGTCCAAGGCAGCAAAAGGAAAGTGCGTAAAAGGTGAGGTGCCCTTTACCGTGTGCACGTTTTAAGTAACACGCACAAAGCTAGGACCCGATAATGGTAAAAATCTTTGAATGCCAAAGCCCACCCAACCCGTAAATAAAACCTACTGGTTCTTTCTTGCTGGAACTCTAGATGCTAGAGCTAGACGTCGTTTGAAGCGGAAATTAAAACAAAACTTTTTCCAGGTTTTTTTTTATTTTCCTCTTCAAATGACGGAAGGCAAGGCTAGCAATACGGCGAAGGGCTGATTTATTTGGGGCCAATATTTTGGCTAACAAAATTAGCCTTCCTCATGGCCAGAGGTTTAGTTTCAGATAATGGTATATATCTGTGCTAAAGTCACTCTTAGGCTTAAGAATTTGTCAATGTGTTGATCTCTGAAACAAATTGCAAGGAACTGTCGTTTGCAACTGCATCGTCGTTTGCTTTTTTTTGTGGTCCGAAAACCGCGGGCGTGGCGTCCTCATCTTCATAACATTTGCCTCTTCCTTTGCAGATTGGGAGTATAAAGGAATTATGTTTAGTCTAGCATATATTCTACAGAAAGTAGTTGTTGTCCGCCGAGTGGTATTTTTGCTACTCTTGCAATCATTTTAGGCAGTATTTCGGCTATTTCTTCGCATAAAGCCAGTATTTTCTATAGTTCTTAGTACCAAAACAGCTGAGCTACCGCGCATTCTGTGGTCTCCATTCTCCAACCAGCGGCCGTTCTTTGTGTTGTCATGCAACCCTCCTCCGAGCGTTGCATGACGATGACGAATCGGTGCATAGGAGACTATGCATTCTGCTACCATTTTTCTGTCAAATTATCCGTAAAAGTGAGTCATTTCTCTTGATAATGGCAAAGAACTTCCAAATTCGGTCAACGTTTGATGGTTATGAAGAATTAGATGGGGATCAAAGCCAATCCTAAACGGAGAAGTATTTTGAATGAATAACAATAAGTACTGATTAGCTAACAGCATATTGTATTGCAGTGTATTTCTCTCAGCAATTAATATTATAGGAAGTGTTCATTAGCAAAATTCCCGAAATAATCGATCGAGGCGAGTCAGACCCAAAGAAAATTAAACTTACAGATATATTTACATATGATTGGAAGAAAAAACCCTTCCGGAAAACAGTAAATTTCACCCTTGATCCACGGTTTTTACATTCCCTTTATAATCATTGAGGGGACTAGGCTTAATAAAAGGTTCTTTTTTCTTTCAGCTCTTTCTTTTAAAGGAGCTACCTCCCCGCTGTCCTCTTCTGTCTCCATTTATGTTAGCGCTCTTGTGATTGGATACCTTGGGTGCTTGGCTTTTACAGCATAAGAAACCACGTCTGCTGCTTGCTTTGCTGATGCCACCTAATCTCTGTCTTATTTTAAAAGGACGCAAACCTAAGCTGTTTACGCTGAAGAGAGAAAAATGACGTTTTTGTTTACTTTTACTGGCTATTCGAAAATACACTGTAATGCTTGGTTTGTGACAAAAAAAGAGCGAAAAGCAGGATTTGTAAAGGAAAGAGAAAAATGAGTATTAATTTCCTGTGGACTGATGCTTTCTTTTAATTATTTGGCACCACTCTAAATGGCAAGAAAATAAATAGCACAACTTTATCTACCTGCCAATAATTTACAGTTAACTGTACATATGTTCTTCTGTTCATTTTCGAAAGTATTATAATATCTGTGATAAACCTTTTTCAATAAAATCGATTTGCTATGCTGTGATAAACTTTTTTTCTATTTGTTTAGCTTTACAGTCAAATACAGCTTAGAGACAGTTAAAGAAAAAAAAGAGAGAGAATAATATCACTCTGCTAAAAAGAAGTATATTCATGGCACTGCACCTTCACTGAGCTTCATTGAACTTCCAACTTGGCTTGCTTCCGGGGATTGCTCTACCATATCTTTTGAAGAATTAATTATAACAAGTATGGCATTAATATATTATCAGCAACAATGATGCCAACACTGATACGCATTTTTGCCTTGTACTGTAGTTCTGAAAACAGTGGGACTGCAAAACAGTTAGCCTAAGCGCTTAGGTAGTGTAGCCGGCCCCACCACCCCCCTCCCCGCCCATTTTTTCCCTAGGTAAAATTTGCGCACGTGCTCAGTAGTAGTAGTAGTCGTGCCGGGTGCTCCAATACAGTAGTGGAACTTCGATATAACTAACTTCTATATAACGAAGTCCTTGGTACAACGAACAATTTTCTTTACCCCAGTAATACTAAAATGTAAGGAAAAGAACCTAGATATAACGAAACCACGTTATGGCAAACAATTTAAATTTTTGTCATTCCCTTGGCCCTTGGTTAAGCCGATGTTCCACTATATCTTGTTTATTTTTGTCCCTCAACTTCTCTCGCGAGGCGCATGAACAGCACACGCCAAAAACTGTGTAAAGAGAAAGAAGATTGTTAACGTCTCTTCCCAGTCTCAATTTCCGGCATAATCAGCTAAATCAGGAGCATGATAACTCCAAATAAAATCAAGGAAAGCTACAAGGATGCATTATCACCATGCAAAACACTTACAAAATGTTGCAGGGGTAATGTAAAGCCATCCTTTTAATGATGAGAGGTACTTTGGCAGATATTAAACACGTGAAGCAGAAGGATATCTTAATATTAGCCGTTCTAACATCCTGTGTTTGAGATACGCCCAAAAATCGGAGAGTAGCATATGTTTTACATGTACAATAGTTTCGTGGCATTCAAAATTCCCCCTCTCCTGCAAGCAGAGGCCTCTCTAATTCCGGGGGGGGACTTCCAGAAAAATTGGGTGGGGGTGTGCGGCACGCTTCCTGAAAACCCTTACACTATTTCAGAGTAAAATCTGTGCTTTTCCCTACCCTATTCCAGACCTGATCAAACATTTGATACCCTATTTCAGACCTGAAGCCCTGGAGCCCCGCGCGTGACAAGCTGTTACGGCACGTACACGGTAGTTGGCGTAAACATTAAAATTAAAGGGAAATGGTCTTATAGCCAAATGATGAAGAGTTAGCTAATTCTTCTAAAAAAATACCCAATTCAAGACTAGAGTGCACAAACCATACCCTATTTCAGACCAAAATGGTCGAAACTAATATCCTATTTCAGACCAAAATGACTGATAAAAACCTACCCTTTGGCGCGGCAAATACCTATATAGCTTAAATAAGGGACTACCCCCCGGGGGCGAAAAACGCGTTGCTGATTATGAATTTCGCTGCTAACGCTAACCTCCCCGCAGACGTCCTTTGGGGTTCGTTTGTCACGCATTCATTTCTGCCAAAGGACGTCTGCGGGGAGGCTATGCTAACGCAAGCGAGACTAACAAACGAAATCATTTTTCCATTCATGAATTCATTAGTTCGTTAGCAACGGGAACGCCTGACCTGATTTGAATGTAATAACACGGTACAGCACATATACACTGTTCAATAATACAAACTATATTTTATTTTTGAATATTTTTGACACGCTTGGCGTATACTACTGATCCTTTAGCTTGCTTTCGATGCCGGAAGTGCATGCATTTTATTAAAACGTTGTCTTGGTCATGCAAGGTTAATATTTTTAAAATAAAGTCACAGCTAATCACAGAAAAAGACAAAAAATGAACCTACAATAACTACGATAACGGAAAGGATTAGAAACAGAGCTCTCTGTATCTCCAATATTACCTGCCGACCAAACCTGGTCTCTGACAAAGGAACTTCAGCAATTTCGCCTTTGATATTCTCATGTGGGAAGGCAATTGTTGGAAGGTCGCAGCCCAAGAAATCACACAGCGGTTTCCAGCCTTGCTTCACGTTGTACACCAACAGCTTCTCTGGTGGAACAAGTGACTTAACGCGGTCATTGTGCATGCGGTAACGCTTACGCAAGACGCAAGCCAACTTGGGGTTTGCCGAGCTAAGAATGGCAGTCAAATGAGAAAAAAAGAATAAAGATCAGTTTTCTTGAAGTAGGGGAGAGAACAGCCAAAAACCTGCGAGATATCACTGCCTCGGCGACTTGAAGTTGATTGACCATACTCTTCAACCAAGAATCTTCTTCTCTTTCGCTCAAAATTACTTTACTATCAGGGAAAGCTTCCAGTATTTCCTCCCAGAAAAAAATTTCCGGGATTGTCCACGACTGCGTCAGCATTTTCGTAGACTCTCTTTACATCTGGCTGGGCGCCATTTTGGAAAACATCAACCCAGTGGTCTTGGAAATCAAATACTTGCTCTTCCCAGTCAAAGACAGTGAATCCAAGATGACGCAAAGCTTTGGAGATGGATTTAGTTCCAGTTTTTGCCACACCTACACAAATTATCTTCATGATCATTTTCTTCGGTCAGATACTGTCCTCTACTGTATTTCGATGTCAGGCCAGAAACTAGTAGTGTAAGTCGAATGTCGTGTAGCCTGCGTAGCAAGCGTTTTTTTTTTTTTTTTTTGCTCTCGTCCAAACTTTCTCGACGAACTCTCGCGGGAACGCTTGCTAGGCAAGCTAAATGTCGGGTGTTTGAGATTGCAGTGATGCAATCAATGACTTCAATGTCTATGTCACGCTTGGCGGAAACCTCACACACTGGTCGTTTCGATCATGCAAGGTTGCCATTATAGTCCGGCGGCTTAGAAACTCTGTACACTATTTTTTTTCCCTTCAACTTGAAGCGCATGAGTAGTACACGCCATGAAGTGTGTAAAGAGAAAGAAAATTGTTCACGTCTCTTCCCAGGCCCTCTTCCCAGTCTCACTTTCCGTTTTCGGTCCCGCTCTAAACCTTTCGGTTGACCGCTCTTGCGTTCCTTACCCGCGCAAAGTACAAGCTATTTTGCATTCTAGAGACCGCTTCTTATCTTTTCTTTTTCTCCTACCCGGTGAACACTAGCTAGAGGGTAAAAAGCGCTATTTCGGGAACTAATTACCTAAGGAAGACAATTCAGACTCGTTCCGAGAGCCATTTGGTATAGTCGTAGGCCTGGTTACCTCATTATCCCATGTTGGGGAAGGAAAAAAGGCATTTAAGTCCGACATATTAATCATCTAAATCAGGAGCTTGATACCTTCAAATAAGGCAGCGTAATTTTGTATATAACACCTGGGTTTCATGGGTAACTAATACTCGATTTTACAAGCAAAATCCGACACACTCCACTGTCGCTCGTCGGCCAATATGCGAGTCTCGCATGTCACACATCCGTTTTTGTCTCGTCACGCAATGCTCCTCCCCAAAATAAATGACTACTCGACACCACACGTGATACAATAGAATGCAACAGTGTTGCGCAAAGAGACAAAACGGCTCCGTGCGTGTGGGAGACTAAAAAAGGGTTACATGATCACTCATCCAAGTGGGTGATCAAGGAAAAGTTCTGTCGCCGAACCGACTGAAACGTCTTGCTTTGAGCTTTACTGCAACGACTGACATAGACTGTTGTCTTAGGTAACATACAAAAGGCCAAACGCTTTTTCATTGAACTAGTCAATGGGTCTGCATTGATTCATCTTCATTTCTCATATCCCTGTGCGCATACTCACGACTTCTGTCTTTATACTGGCGGGCGACAGTGATTTCTAGCTGCCTTTCCTAATTGAAACATTTTGCTTTCAGCTACATTGCAGGGACTTGTACACAGTGTTTTTAAGGAAACATGCAAAAAGGCCGAACGCTTTTACGTTTAATTTTATCTCACCTAATTAGTAACATACCATGGTTCTGATACAGGTCTAATATTCCACCTCGTTCTTCATCTCCCATGTGTATACAAACCATTATTTCTCTGCTATTTCGTAAAGTAACCGATTACCTTGATAGCTTTCTTCTTTGAAATTCCTTTGACCATTTTTACCGTATTTTAATGATGTTGTTAGTTGTATCAGTAATAATGAAAACCGTCGAGGGGATGGCTATTCCGCTCGCAGTTCACTTTTTTTGCCGAGTATATCGTCTTTGCTTTAAGTCGTACATTACTTGCCAAAGGCTGCAACCTTACTTAGCAAGTTGACCGGGCTAAATTTTGAATAACCTGATGAAAATCTTTCAAAAATGTAACCTGGTTTATAGTTTAACCGGGTTACTTTTCATAAACCGGTCGGACTAAAGTGTGTTAGGAAAAAATTCTTAACCGTATAGGGTGGGGGGGGAGAGAGTTGCAAGAAAATTTTGAAAAGGACGCACTGTTTTATGAGAGAACTCAGAAAATACGGAAAATTGTAAACACTGCATTACTGTCCCAGGGACTTTTGTCCTGGATTGTAGGTCAGTTACATATTTTGGTTCTTGTCTCACGTGAGAGTGATTTCTGCGGTCTTAAACCAACTTCTTTGGAGTTTTGCCAGTTAATTATCTGGCATAAACATAATGTTTATTTACCTATTCAAATTACGGTATGAATTATATTTCTGTCTACAGGAAGACATTAGTATGCCATGACATTTCATGCCGCTGTTGTATAATAGTAGTCCACTGATGATGAGTTGCTGGGCGCGATCCATTCAACCAAAATTCAGACCGGTCCGACCGGGAAAAGAGGACCACCTCAAAAGGTGGACCTGTTTTTTCGAAACTTTTCCGGTTGGACCGAACCGATCCATTGAGTTTTGGACCGAAATTTCCGGAAATTTTGGTTGAATGGATCGCGCCCGCTAATTCAGTTATATTAAGTCCAACCTAAAGGGCGGAGCCGTGAGTTGTTTAGCGACAACATTCCCATCTTTGAGTGACACTCGCTGAGAGAGCTTAGCCAGATTACTAAAGCCTTTTTCCATTGTTCTTTTCCTCGTCAAATGGAACGAAGTGATCTCCACTTCCGCTTCCGCTTCCCCCTCCTCCACTATCCTCCCTCGAGCCGTTCTCCTTCCCGAAAGGAGCTAATTCCTCTTTCATTTCCACACCATTTGTGTTCTTCCCTCTTAATTCCTAGAAAGGAGTAAAGTCCTCTTTGTATCTATTCTCCTTATCGTCACTATCCCCGTCGTCACCAGACCTAAGGCGAGACTGGCCTGGTACTCTGCAAATTTCGAAGACGATAAACATGTTTAATAAACGTTCTTGTTTTAGAAGATTCGCCCCATTTAAGGAATTCAGATTCCAGAAACCGGGGAATTGTTGCTTGCGGAATCCGGAATCCTGGGCTTTGGAATCTGGAATACAGAGCAAGAAATACGGAATCCCATTGAGGAATAGATTTCCACTGACAAAGACTGGAGTCAAGTACCTGGAATCCGGAGTCCACGGAGTTGAATCCAAAATCCGAAGAGTTTCTTGGATTCTCTTACATGGGGCGTGAAAAGAGTTCGAAAGCCAAATTCCAACCCTTTGAGAGGCAGAAGCAGAGACAGAGACGTGCATAAGCACTTGGAGAAAATGGGCAAAAGATTGAAAAAGCCAAAAAAAGATATCCACATTAAAAAATAATAGCTAAACAGCAATAGTTTCCGCAACAGCAAAAAATAGCCAAAAGGGGTTTTGACCCAGTATGAGGTTGAGGTCGTTGTTACGAGTAAGCAAAAAGTACTATTTTACTTACCGTTTAAAAAGACCTCAATCTCACACAGGGTCGACACCCCTTATTTCTGCAGACGCATATCCACGTATCTGCCGAGTATGGACTCCGGGCCATATGGGCAATGTCGGTATGAAAAAATAAGTTTGAGAGTTGTTTGAAAGTTGTTCGACTTTGTTTAAAAATTAGTCTAAACGGCACTCTCCGTAAACACCAATCGGGAATAAACCCCAAAACACCGCAGGGTGAGTTGGATTTGATATTATATTCTGAAAGTGCGACGTAAGTCTTTTTACGACGACAACCCAAGGGCTGGTGGACCCACTCACGTACCTGTATACGAGAATGATAATGTTGACCAGTTTATAAAATAGCTTCAAAAAATTGGATGAGGGCAATCTGCAAATTGCAAATTACTGCTCAGAAATATGTCCTGACCTGACTAAGCGCAATTAAACGCTCGTGTGTTTTTGACACCTGATCGTTTAAAAATGGCGGAATTAAATAAATCAATAAAGGCCTTTTTTTGTTTTTTAACTAAGATGGAGGCATGGCGCGCGCGCAATGGATTACTCTCGCTCTAAAACATTAGGCTAGCAACAGAACGGGAACGTCATTTGACGACGGGTAAGCGCGCGGAAAGGACTAAACTCAACTTCCGGTATCCAATTTGCCGCTCTGCCATTGGTCAATGCAGTTGTTTGATTTGCGCGCGCAGTCGTCAACGGACGTTCCCGTTCGGTTGCTAAATCAGCTTATTATAATTGATTTGTGACGTGTAATTGTAAGCAACCTGATCAAGACTTCTTTGCTTGAATGCGTCGTGCTTTCATTCTATCTTGGCCTTAAACACCATCTACCCTGGCAGTACGTTTGGAGGAGACTGCCGCAATGATGCCCTAGTCCAGAATGGGTTGGCTATCTAAGTCCATTGTTCTTGGAGTCTTTTGCTGCTTCCTTTTTATGTACCCTAAGAGTGTCTCGGGAGGTAAGGATAACACTTGTGAAAACTTTTAGAGAGTTTTTTTAATCTAAAACTTAATGTCTGGTATAAGAGGACAGCAAGACGCGCGATCTTTACATTTATATTAGTATAGGTTATAACATGATTTGTAGTGATACTTCGAAATTGTTAAACGTAATTTGAGACAATTTTGAAATATCACGAGTGGTATTTATGCCAAATATCTCGTACAAATCATGCTATTATTTGTTTATACCACTACTCGCAATAGGCTTGTAATTTTCACATGTAAGTACTTCAAATTAAGCTGAAATACCACTGCTCCAAGCCAATCAAATTGCAGAAATTTCTCGTGCAGTAGTATAAACATGTTAACAGTAAGCTCGGGCGTTAAAGTTTTATATTTCAACATGATAGTAACAGCAAATACCACAAGAACACATAAGCAATTGACTGTCAAAATTAGCAACACAAAATAAGAGGGAGAAAAAAGTGTTTACCCCCAAAGAAGTAAAGCATGTCAAACAAAGATTGGGTTGGTCACCGCTGTGAAATGGCTAAGGTCAAGGTTTTCTTTAACAGGCAAGAAGGCATGCCTCTTCAAAGCCTGGTTCCTCGAACTGCGTTGTTTTTTCAATCATTAAATTTTGGAATTTTTCTCCATCTTTTTCCTTCGAGGTGGACACTAACAAGAAATATAAAACACTCTGAGTCAAAGCCAAAGTGAAAAGTCGGCAAACTCAAAGTACACGTATAAAATAAACCATGATCACACATTTATTATTGCAATTTTATAGCCGTTTGCGTTTATCAAATGGCAGTGGCATTAGAGTTCAAACCTCATTTTATTCATTATGGCCGTTCATGTGGGGTAGGAAGTATTGAGCGTTTGTTTTTCCCTTTGGTTTTTGCAAGACCTCCTGAGTTGCACTGTGTGTTTAACTTGCTCCAATCCTCGATTAAACCTAACGCTGCTCACCTACGCCTATAGAATTAAAGTTAAGGAATATAATTTGTAACATTCGCACGCATTTTCAGGGAAGTTTTGGTCTGCAAACTATGAATTTTCAAGCTCCTTACTCGCTTGTATTCCCTTGTGGTCTCACAAAGTTGCCAGACACGCATTAAGAGTAAGCAGGAGTTTAACGGGGTGTCCGCATAAAGCGGGCTGATCGAATAGACCTCTTTAGCTTGTATGTTTTCTTTTCCAGTAGAGGTCCCAGGGGAACTTGGCCCTTTGTCTTTTCATAAATTATGCCCAGATATGCACGTGAATTAGACAAAACTTGAGAGGAACAGTTCTCTAGAGTATTATCACATGACCTGTTTTGGGAAAACAAAACACAGAAGCTAAAGAGGTCTATTTAGAGAAATGTAAGGGCTTTTTTTCCCAAGGGACAAAGTAAACTGACCGTAATAATGAGGTTTCCGTTTTAAGCGGGTGTCTGTAAAGCAGTGTTCATGTTTGACTGTATCAAACTTTGGAGGGGCAAACTCCAAAACAAATAAACAAAAAATTCCAAGAAACGGGAACAATTAAAACTCTAAAAATTCTTAAGAGCGACAAGTGTACATCTTGCAGATTACTGCTCTGAGTTCATTTTAAGGGATCGAGATAATGCGTTGTTTTTTATTGCAGGTAACTGTCATTCAGACAGACAGTGCCATCCACAAGCAAAGTGTCTGTTGAACCACTGTGCTTGTCAGGGCTGGCATTACGGAGATGGAAAGCGTTACTGCCAAGGTATAAAACACCTGAAACGTCTTTTAGCATCTTCTTCTGGGGGTGTTAATGAGATGATGCTGAGGGGGACAAGATGGGGCTTAGCCCTTTAAGCCCTAAGAGTGATCAGCGTCAAATTTCTCCTTGTAATATTGATGCTTTGTAAAACAGAGTGGTCATGAGAACTACGGACATGATCACACAAGATGAATTTGCTTGATATTTTATCAACTTCTCTCCACTACTTCTGTAGTAAATGAATAGGGGCAACAAGTGAGAATTCAAATTTTTATCCTAGGGTTTAGAGGGTTAATCTTAAAACACGAAAAAATTATGAGTTTATTCTTTATTATATAAACTATAAATTTACTTTTCAAGTCTTGCTGTACCTAAATGGAAAAGCCCTGGTGATGAGGTTGTTACTGGATTTTTTTTTTCCTGCGTTAAAAAGGAGCAAAAACGTTTTGTACGATTTGCAGAAAGCCACTGCATGTTAATACTATTTTACTGACGAATCAATAAATCAAAGATTGAGGTTTTAAAACCAGTGGAATCACTTTTAGCTGAATAATAAAGTAGAATTGTCTGCCAGAGTCCCTTCCACGATTTGTTATAAGGGCCTGGAATTAGCGAATATTATCCTTCAACATCGCTAGAAACAGCGCCTTAGAATTAGCGCAGATATAGTTCCCCAAAGGCGCGTAATTTTTTAACACAAACAGCTCTGGGGTTAGCCGGAGCCCACGAAAGTTCGTTGTATCAGGGAACTTGCGGTGATATAATTGCTTTAGTTTTCAACAAATCACTCAAAAAGTTTTCAACTATGCCGACTTTAATTCTTTCTTTCTTACCAAGTATAATATTATTTACTATTTTGTTCTTTTTATGCTCACAATTTTAGGCGGATTTAGGGCGTGTGACCCGTCCGTCAACAGAAGGAAATTTAAATGCTTGTCACCGCACTCTATGTGCATGATGACAGGCTATTTTCACGACACTACGGTCGTTTGCAAATGCAGAGACGGTTTTATTGGGGATCCCGCGAAGAAATGCACAGGTAACCAGGGGGACATGTTGATGTGCTTAATGTTATAAGGGTGTGCCAAATGTAATACGGTGTTGGTGCTAAATGTTATAGAGTCACATTTGTGACCTAAATAGGGCAGACTTGTCACAAAATTCAGAAAGAGGGTACGGGGAGACTCTCTTGATCTTGAGATGTTCATTGATCAAAGAATTCTTAGAGCATCTATGTCAAAAATTAAGGATCTAGAAGAAAAGTTTTACTGTCAATTCATGAAGACTGGACATGAATAGAGCGTTTTGTCCGGTCATTGCAATTAACTCCAATTATCAAGGAGAATTGTCTCAAAAAATGCAATATTTTGTCCGAACTTCCCCCGTGCACTTGCTCAGTGCAGGTATTTATTAGAATTCAACGAAATGCCACATTACATAGCCATTCCTAAAACATACTGTCTCACCAAACTCCATATTTCGACGACCCTCGCTCAAGTCTACCATTCCCGTTACCTTGTTTATCGACCTTAAAAAATACAAAACACTCGTGGTATTCACTCAGACTGAAGTTTTTTGTCATTTCTCACTCACACATTCTCCAGTTCACTAGAAAACTTATGACTATGCATTTAATTGATGACTGTTTCTTTAAAGCAACAAATGAGTGTTTAAAGAGAGGACTATACTGTCCCCCTGCTCTAAAGTGCATCAGAAGGGGACATAGCTATCTATGCGGGTGCGATCCTGGTTTCAAGGTTGTTGGAGGAGGAAACGCGAGGAAGTGTGAAGGTATTTATAAGTACTACGTAAAAACTTTGGTGAACTGATCTTGTGCCGATGTCTTGGCATCCACTTTCACCGTAAAAGAGACTTTTTTTCTTGCTTCTGAAATGGCCTTTTTGCACTCCCTGGTTTACTCGTGAATGTAATGAAAGATAACGATTAACTTGACATTTTTTAGCAATGAACGAGTGTGAAAAGAGAGGAAAAAATTGTCCCCCTGCTCTGAAGTGCGTGAAGCAGCATCATAACTATGAATGTGGGTGCGATCCTGGTTTTAAGGTTGTGGGAGGCGGAAACGCCAGGACTTGTAAAGGTACGAGTACTATTTAATTTATAATTAATGAGTGAGGCTGAGTATCCTATTAAGAATTATGGAGATCGAGGAGGGTGTTATCCGTCGAGGCCGTAGGTCGATGCGGATAACACCCTCCGAGATCTCCATAATTTTTCATATGATACGAAAGCCGAATTCAATAATTGTTTTATTATTCATTCAAAATAATTCCTAGTTTAAAAACGAATCTAAAACATGCTTACCTCCATCGATGTTAAGTTCACCTTCGATAGTGCACGTTTAGGGTTGTTCAGCTCCGCAAATATTCTCAAAATAGCAGATGTCGCCCTTTGAGTTGTGTTCTTGCTGTTCTTGCCATGTTTTTAGCTATAATTTCGCCTAGTTCTTTCTCTTGAAACGAGTGAAATGTCCGCCATTTTTTGTTTTCACAACTCAACCTCGTCCTCAGGTCCTCTCGGTTAACGGTGCATTAACCTGCAAGAACGCTGCATTTTTGACGTCATTTCCTCGTTAAACACAAAATTCTTCCGAATTTGGTCATCAGTAACTGGTTATGGTAAATTAAGCTTGTGCTTTTAGCCAATCAGAATCGAGGAAATATTTTGAATGAATAATAAACAATTTTAACGCGAATTCTCTGACATTTTCTGGGATGTTCAGAAAACCCTTGACATCTGGTGCATTTATTAATTGATGACGTTTTTATAGCAATGAACGGGTGTGAAAAGAAAGGACTTATTTGCCCACCTGCTCTGAAGTGCGTGAAACAGAAACGAGGTTATGAATGTGGGTGCAATCCTGGTTTTAAGATTGTGGGAGTCGGAAACAGAAGGACTTGTAAAGGTACAGTATCATTATTATTTAACTGATGGCTTCCAACAAAATGTGAGATGTTGCGGGTCGCCCTTCAAGCGGTCCCATCATTCTCAGCAGTTGGGAAAAAAACACTTTTGAAAGAATGCTTGCTTCCTTTATTTTCCTCATTTTATCCGAATGAGCTTATAACAAGGCATAAAACAATCTCGTAGAGCACAATTGCCTTAAATGTCAAAAGTACT